TAAAAATAAAAGAAATCCCGAGCTGGTTTATGTAACCAAAATTTTAAGAACAGTACAAAGAATGCATTTATATTTTGAAAAATTTTACGATTTACTTCCTTATACCATATTAACTATTCAAAACTTAATTTAGAAGTTTAAAGTCCATTTATTATACTTCCGTAATGAATATGCAACTAAAAACATGGAAATTTGGTTCAAATTACACTTTAAGAAATTTCTGACCAAATTACGGTAAAAAGGCACTCCTTATTTTTACCATCAATTTCTACAATTTTGTTTTAGAATTTTTTTTTATTGGAACAAAAACATTATATACCGCAATTTTTACGGAACAAAAATATGCTATACCATAATTTTTACAGTAGTATTTACCGTAAAATCACTGTATTTAAATATTACTGCAAAAATTACGGTAAATGGATAAATAGATTATACGGATGCTGCATCCAGGGTGTCAGTACATTTTACCTGAATTTCATCCAGAATATTTTTACAGGGTATCCCCAGTTGACGGTACATTTTACGGGAATAATTTTTAATTTTGAGGGAAAAAATTGTTTTGTATCAGAAAGAATAATGACAAACAATCATGGGGTTTGTGAGCAGAAATGGCGCCAAGTACAGCATATTGCATTTCATTCGCTATATTTCACCTTTTTTTTCTCTGATTAATCCTCTATATTGATTCATGCAATGATATGTGTTAAGTTAAAAATATTAAAACCTTATTTTTTAAATTGCATGTTAGGAATGACATTGTTCCAAGCAAACTTAAATCTGCACTTTGGAAAAATTAAAGAAGAAGAAAAAATGGTAGTCCAGAGCTCAAAACACGAGGAGTAAAAGGAAAGAAAATATCTGTAGATTTCTGAGAGACAAATATCCAACTCAATAATCTTTGATCATGCCGCCTTATGCCCTTCTTTTTGAAGTCAATGTGTGACTATTCTATTTTTAAATTCATAACAAGTAATATTTAAATTGTTAGTCTCTTAATACTTAAAAAAAGAAACTATTTTCGTTGAGAAAACATACGTTCTTAAAACCATACGCCTTTAACTAAAACTAAGTCTATAAAAGATTTATTACTTTCCTTAGATAAATGTGCATAAATTCTTACTTTTAATCATACATTTGCATAAAATACGTAGGATCTGAGTATGCATGTACAAGAAAAGTACAAAAATTAACAAAGACTAAGTTAGGAAAAAGTTTGAAGTGTATTTGATTAAGAATATGAATCTGTAAATCAAATTAAATTTTTATTCTGTTCGCAACAAAATCAATTTGAAGACAAATACTTGTGAAGAAGACGTGATTTTAATGCTCATTTCTGAAGATTTCAAGAATAGAGGTTTCGTTATTTGTTGAATATTGTGGTTATGAAAATAGTATAAATTAAAAACAATTGCCGGTTCATGCTCAGTAAGATAAAAATATGTTTTCAAAAGTATTCTTCATAAAAATAAAATCCTTATGATAAATAATATGATAATTCAATGAAATGTATTCATATCCAAAACTGAAGGAACAAACAATTTTTCGTTAATAACTCACGAATCAGTGAACTCAATTAAATTAAATTTTGTATGAAAATACAAAATTGAACCCTGAGAAAAATGATGATATCGAAAAGCTACTGAAACGAATTCAAGATCATGAATTGAAAGATATCACAACAAATTAGTCAAAAAAATAATGCAGTAAAAGGCACTTGTGGTAGGACAAGAATAAATCTATGGTATTCAGCATCCTTCCAAGTGAAGAAAATTCATGACGTTTATCCGATTTATAATTTGAGATAATTACTCATATTTACCAAATTTTAAGATTTAAAGGAGAGTACTAGGTTCTATAAAACTACGCGTATAAAATGCGTTTCCCAAAATTTAAAAAAAATTCAAATTCCCCCTTTTTTAATAATATAAACTCATATGTAAAAGTGAAGTAATAAACACATTTTCTCGAATAGTTTAAATATTAGTGAGCCGAGTTAAGGGGAATTTTATATGAAAATACATTAAACTCTGACTATGGTAATAAAAAGGTAATGGCACGAACATGAATCATGAATTAATAGGCATTGCAACAAGACAGATAGAAGATGATGTAAGGAAATTGCATTGGAGTATAATTTGTAGTATGAAGGCAATGCAGGTCTCCTAACGAATTCTCATGTTGTTTAAGAGGTTATTAGCATATGATATTCTTCACCCTTACATGTGACGACGAAAATGCAGGCTGTATACGAGATTTACAATTTGGGATAATTTTTCAAATTTACTAAATTTTAAGGTTTTGGAACAATAAATCCCCCTTTTGACTCCTCTATGAAAAGGTTTATTAGCAAAGAAAAGTGTTCCAAGACATGCTTCATGGCATTCAGATCTGCTTGATATCTCCATTTTCTGAACGCCACCAAGGCTTCATTGAAATGTACTTGGAACGAACAGACTTCAGAACAATTTTTAATAGGTCTATAAGATCTCAGTTCTGTACCCCGAAAAATTCTCTATACACTTCAGGTGACAGAAGAGCCTGTCTAAACTGAAGCAAGTAACATCCAATTTGGACACAGTTGCGGTGATCTTATGTTCTATTCACTGAAGAGCCATGATTATTGACAGATTCATGCATGTCGAGAATCAAGGACCAATTAATCTCCTCCAACATATAGAGCCAGTATAGTGGTTGAGGTGTTATGATGTGGGCATTCGTGATGTTGGGTGGCCTCACAGACCAGCATGACGTTTTCGTATTTCGATTAGCAGAGAAATTTCAGTTCTTCACACCCTTGCAAATAACTCCAGGGACTAAAAACTGCTTTAAAATGGAATAGTGGAATTTATTGCATCAAGACCTTAGATTTATTGTTCTGAAACATTTGTTATCCATAAACAACATGAGAATTTGTTAGAGATTTGCATTGCCTACAGGGGAAGGTTTCATACTATAAATTATATATTCCTCAAGTGCGGTTTTTCTACATCATTTTCAGTCTATCTTGCAGTAATGCCTATTTAATTCATGGTCGTAAGTTCGTGCTATTAAGTTTTTGTTACCATAGCTATAGATAAATCTGTCTTCATATATCATAGTTTAATGTATTTTAATATATAATTTCACTTATTTCGACTCTCTAATTTTTGGACCATTTGCAAAAATTTGCTTGTTTCCACATTTTTACGTATAAGTTTATATAATTAAAAGAAAGGAAACGGTATTTTATATTATTTTAGGAAACTCATTTTATACCAGTAGTTTCTTAGTGTGTAGAACTATCTTTTGTTCATGATGCATAGCTATGTAAACAATAGACGAAGTAGACCTTTTTCTTTATTTTTCATGTTGAAATGTCATAAATAATATGCAATTTCACAGTTTTCTTAGTAATCTAATTAACGGAAATTCATTTAAATATTTTTTAAAAAAAAATATATTTATATATTGACGTAGATGTATTTATTATTATTAAAAGCCCCCATTGAATTTTTTGGGGGAGATACCCCCCATAAAAAGACACTTATCCCATTCATGAAACTTATACGAGATTTGTGATTTTTAAATAATTTTTCAGGTCTGTTTTCTAGGAACAGTGTTATAATGAGAAAATAAATAAATAAATGAATAATAAGAAGGAAAAATATGAAATATACCAAAATGAAGTATTTTTCGTTTACCGAAAAAGATTACGTAATTGGAAGATTCTATTTAGTTTTATTAACCCTTAAGGTTGCTCAGACATTGTATTTTTATTTTTCGGTCTTTCAAGATGAGAAATTGGTATCATCATTAAAGCACCTTTTACAGACGTTCCCTAAAACTCAAGACTCTTTAAGTTTAGTAGTAAGTTCTAAATTAGTAATCAGTTTTAATTTACAAGGGCATTGTTATTGTAAGAACTAAAGAAAAAAAATAAAATGCTATAAAAATGACTAGTTTTAAAAAAAATTCTATTTTTTTTTAATACGAAAATTTCCAGCTTTTAAAAATAATTGTCAAATAATTATGTTAATTATATTTAATAATAAATTATAAAAATCAGTGTTTCTTCACATAGGAATAACATATGATTTTAAAAAACTGATATAATTTCTCAAAATTCGTTTTCCGCATTTTAAGAGATGGTGGTAGTCAATTTTAAAAAATATTGTTTCAATATTTGCCGAATTCCAAGTTTTAAGAAATTGATTATTTCCTAATCGGTGATACAGTGACTTCCACCATGTGTTTTTCATACAAACTTCCTTTGAAATACGTTAAAATTAATAATCTATTTTTTGCGCTAATGGTCATTGCCAACTGTAATTACATAATTAACACTAGAAAGACGGAAAACCAGCATATACCTATATTGCCAAAAAGCATTTAAAATGACTAAATTGTGAATGCGTTATTGCTTAATTTTAATAATTTGCTTAAAATTAATCTTCAGCATTTTCTATATTATTTACAGTTATGTAACAAGTTATTAGTAAATATTAGCATTAAAAAAAATTATATGTTGTTCAAAAAGTCACGAAATTCTAAGAAATTGTGTAATTGTATACATCATTGTTTTTCTAATTGAAATTAAAAGCAGTCAAAATTAGGCGATTGTCCTTAGGCAATCTAGTGTTAATACATGAATGTATGCAATTATATGATTGTATCTTGCTTGTATGACATTATATAAGAAGATTGTATTTGTAGCAATTGTTAATTAAGTATAAAAACGTTGCGTAGTTTGGCCTATAATTACATCGATGTTGCAGTGCTAATTAATATGACAAAAGAAACAATCCTTTGTATTTGACCTTTCATAGAATAAAGCTTTTAGACAGTCGTCAGCATTTTTGGTGACATCACCTCATAAAGCGGCATGTTGCTGGAGAAGACACATCCCATCGAAATAAGAAACACAACTCCTTGTCTAGGACTAAGAATATATCTGTAAAAAAGCTAATGACGTACACACCAAACAGTAAATGAAAAGAACAGGAATAAAAACGAAAGAAAAACACTATCTTCCCGGACAAATGGGCCTTCCGCCAGCTAAGACGAGATTTCTTCTTTCGAATTTAGAGTGAAGATTTCGAGGAATACACATTAAATCTTCCGTCTTGGACTTACAACTTTTAGTCACCGAAAATGAAACCGTTTCGAACAGACCATGCTGTCCATAGCTTTTGGCGGGAAGTTTAAATTTTAATATTAATACAGGAAGAGATTTTAGTTTTGGATATTCCACAAGATAACTTTTAGATTGTCAATGCGATTTTGACATAATATTATTGATAACTGAAAACTCCATGAGATTATTTTTCTAAACAACCTGAGAGGTAAGTATTCAATTTTGACAAAATATAATTGATTACAAAAGTAATTTACTCGTAATCAAGATTATATTTAACCAAAAATATATTATAACATGATTACTCCATAAAATATGATCGAATTAGATGTAGTTATAAGATCAAAGATCATAATTATTTATAAAAGTATAATGATTACTTCGAATAATGTTACTAAAGTTTATTGTATAAATTATAATACTTTGTAATCAATTATAATTTTTCTAGCTCTTGTTAGTGTAGCTTAATACATTTAAAATAAATCTCATTTGCGATTCACTAATATAATGTTAAGATCAAAGTTGGAGTTAATAATTTTTGTTAGAATAAAAAGAGCAATAATATTTCTCAACAAGAGTATATTTAATTATCTAAACATGTAATCCCTATTACTTTTAACCATGATTACATCATAACATGCAATCAAAATTAGACATAATCAAAATTTGAATCGTTGTTATTGTTTATACGTAGAAGTATAATAATTTTACTTCCAAAACTGGTTATCGTTGTAAATTATAATTGCTTCTATATAATAACAGTTTTTCTTACTTTGTTATGTATGATGTCTGCTTATAATTAAAATAACTCTTTGATGTTTCCCAAAATGTTCAGTAATATAGTAGTTGTAATAAGTTGATATTGTTACAATAACAGCAATGGAGCAATGGAGAGTGTATAAGAATTTTTGTTTTAAATATGGAGAAAAAAAAATTTTCAATTATATTATTTGAAATTTCTTTTTTAACTTCTTTTTTCTGTATGAACAGGGTTTTTTTTAACTATGTAGTTATCAGTGATAATTTTTTTCCACATTAGTTTGCTGAAATTTCTTTAAAACATGCTCAAAAGTTTTTTTTTCTTCTGCGCACATTTTATAAAAATAAATCTAACTAAAGTTTTTTAAAAAAATATGTTCATACTTAGCCTTTTCATGTAACTAATCTGAATTATTTTCTAATTGGTAAGAAAATAACGTAAAACGTCCTACTTATTAATTTATTTATTAATTTATTACCAAAAAACTTTTTTTATTGAATTTTAAGTATTAAACTGCATATTCTTTGAATACAAAGCATTAAAAATAGTTCTATGTTCGTTTTTTCCATATATAATCCATTCCATATGTATCCCATTGCAAAATTTTAAATTTTCTTTTTCAATTTACCAATTTTGTTTTTCATGACTCAATTTTGTTTTTCATGACTCAATTTTATATTTTCATAACTTTGGTATTTTTTTATAACATTATCTATACATGTAATAATAATATCTATACATATAATAACAAATATGAATATTGATACCATGCCATTTACAAACGTATAGTAGAAAAAAAGTTTTTACAATGTACAAACTACAGCTGCAAAATAATCGGTTGATAAAATATTTTTTTAATATGCTGTTTTATCTGACAATTATATTTAAAAATTTGAAAATCATCTCAATAATGTGTTAATTTTAGAATTTTTTACTCAATAAACTGATTAATAAGTTTGTATTTATCCATAATATGATTGCAAATGACAAGAAGGATATTTTAGAGGTTTCAAATAATATCTGGTTTCTAGCAAGCATAACAGTTGAGAACTGTTTTTCTATTTTTAATTCTAAAATAATTTTTGTTATAAAAATATTGCACGAAAGGTTGTTAATAGATTCTTGCTGTACGAACGAATATTACGTAAGCAAATTTTTGGAAATTCTAAACTCCTCCTCTCGCATTCTCTTCCCTTTTCTGTGTTGCTTATTTTTTCTGACGAGAAATAAGCAAGTCACAAAGTCTCTTCTTACACTTGAGTAAGAAAATCACAACATCCCCTCTTGTTCTTTTCTTTAACTTGGACTTTTACTGAATTAATAAAATTTTAGAATTTAAATAAAATATGTAACTTTGAATAATATAAAGTTTCCGTTTTGATTCCTTTTACAAAATTTCGAGTAAATACATTGAGGGATTAAAATTTACATAAAAGTTGAACGGTTCTTCATAGCATTTTGCTTTATAAACTATACTGTCCAACATATTGTTTCATATTTTATTTTATGAAAAGAGCGTCTATTTTATGAAAGAGCCATCTATTAGTTTTAATGTAATAGTTTCTTTTTTGCTTAGGCTTTCAAGACCAACATGACATTCCGCAAGACTGATCATATGACCAAATGCGCCAAGTGTCGTTACTACTGCCGTGCTGGCTCAACCTTTATATTTTCGCACATAGGCTTATGCAGCCTCGTTTTTGGCTACACTGTCATGGGAGCTTTCACCTTCATGGCTCTTGAAGCTGAAAATGAGCGCCAGAAGAGGATTCAAATGAGGGAAGAGGAAGAACATCTTATCGAACAGCTTTGGTTATTGACTGTAAGTGGAGAAATTATCAACGAGAGTATCTGGTTTGAAAATGCCACGGCAACACTCAAGAAATATGAGATGAGTTTAGTGAAAGCTATGAAGAAGGATGGCTATGATGGCAATGATGATATTACAACGCAACAGTGGTCTTTTTCTGGAGCTTTACTCTATTCTGTCATAGTTATCACAACGATCGGTACGTTTTCATGATTCAGTTTTTCTGATAAAATGATGGAATGTTTGTTTCGTAAAATACTTAGAATCAAATTATAGTATTATAGTATTGTTGTTATTGTTTCTAATGACCCTTGGACAAGCAAAGCTTGCCAGCCATTGATTTGGACAGGATTGCGAATTAATTTTACCAGGAGGGTACGTCTTTCGTTTGACAAGAGAACACCGCAAGGTTGAAACTACACCTTGGCTCAGAACCCTATGGATAAATGGCATCACTACTTATTTGTGGGGCCACTTCCTCAATTTCGTCATAGATCTGAAGGAAAAGGAAACTTTTTCCATATCCCTATACCCATTGTTTAAGATTTTAAGTCATTAACGTATGTATATTTGACAGAAGCGCCACCTTTAATTTTCCTTAGATTTATTTGTTTTAAAATTTCACTTTAGGTTGCGTGGCAACCTGAGATAGTTTTTTGTTGTTGTTCTTTTTTGTTGTAATTGGGTATAATATGAAAAAAACACAACTACTTCGATTTAGTAGGAACAACATATGACGCAATGCTAAACGAATGGAATTTAGTTGTTGTTCATTTAGTTATTGTTATTAGTAGTTGTTGTTATTTGTTTTAGTTGTTGTTGTTTATTTAGTTGTATTTAGTTTCAATAACTTTTCTTTATAATGCAATAAAATCTGGCGAGCAGCTATTTAAACGATCGAACACTTCGTTTGTTTATTTGTGGCTTGAAGTTAGGCTCGCAGAAAATGCCGTTCATGGGTTAAATTTAGTAGGAACAACACAACCTGTGACGTAGGCTATATTATACCCAATTTAGAATTATAATTTTTAGAATCCGTTTTTGATGCTAAATTATTAGTTATTAAAAGATTAAAGTTTTATATTTGTTGTCATTCATCTGCAGAACTTGTAGTTCATTTGATTGATTTTATTTAAAAGGCGTCCGCATTATTTATTTTAACTTATTAGCGACACCCATGGTACAGTTGGTACAGCTTAGTAAAGCAATATTTGGAAAATAATTAGTAGTTCTATTTTATCATAAATGTAAATCTCAATTTTTTTGAAGGTTCAAGCTCAGTTGGGTCCAAAATTTAATGTATCTAAGAAAAGCTGAAATTCTTTTAAAAAAAATAGAAAAATATTATTTAAGACCAAAATTCTTGGAAATATAAGGTACATTATTTGAAATTACTTTTTTCCGATCATGGTTTTAATACTTATTGATATGATAAATATTTTTAAATTGCCCTTACTTAACGATTAAACTTCTCACAGCAACTAACGACTAATTGTAATTATTGAATTTATTGCGCATAATTTTATACTTTATTATACCTAATAACGAAAAAAAAAACAGATTTTTATACATCTCTTAAGTTTGAAGATAGAAATAAAGAATCCTGGCAAAATGTATCTCGTAGTTTCCTAATCTAAAGTAATCAGCTACTTTATTTTTCCTCTTGTAAGAATGAAATGCTTGTTGAGAAAATACAAAAACTGATCATAACTCAATTTCAAAAAATTTCATTTATCAGTTCTTTTATCAAAACTTGTACAATTTATTTCACAACTGTGGTCATTAGGTCATTAGAAGAACATATTTAATAGTCAGCGTACGAATCAAAACTTAGATTACCCATATACTTTGCCATATGATAATACCAGAGAGTATTCAAATATTAATAAATACTATAAATAAATAATATTTCAGTGTTCAGAAAATAATTCCCTTTTTTTACGAAAATGAAAGACAATTTCCTTATAGTGAATAAATATTTTATTGAATCTTATATTGCCTATTCTGTTCCATTACCTTTTGCCATCTCCCTGGCAGAGGCATGATTCTACTCGAACAAAATTATTGTTCTTTGCTGGCAAAAAAAAAAAAATAAAAAAAAAAANAAAAAAAAAAAAAAAAAAAAAACTGATCCTGGAAATGTTTTTATTTTATTTTATAACCGTCGCTTAATAACAGACTCAATTTTATGGATTTTACGACTGTTAATGTTCAACTCGGTAGTCTTGTAATTTTGAACCCAATCCAGAAAACAAGGGAACTCCTGGATCGAGTATTGGGAGAAATTTTGCCTTCGTGGAGGACTATTTGATGGAGCTAACCCGCATTTGCGTTCCATGAAGAGGAAGACCACGAGAACCTCCCATGGTTAGCCTGGCGGCAAGGGGACTCTAACACATGATCCGTCTACCACTGAGGATATTTCACGTCAGCTCTGTGGTTGGTGCAAGTCGGATGCGGAATTCGTATCGACTGGGATTCGAACCCGGTTCGCCTCATTGGAAGGCGAACGGTCTATTCCTTGAGCCATCGCGGCTTCCTGGAAATGTTTGGTTAAAGTAATGTTTTTAAAGTCTAAAAACTTTTTTGTAGTGGTTAGAAAATTGTTGTAGACAACCCATTTCTCGCCCTCAGTGAGAATACGCTTAAAAATGAATTCTTGATGTTTGAGAAACTAACCACATACATCAACGCGATAGCTCAAATTTCTTTCATAAGAACAAGAAGAATCCATGTGTCGAGCTTTGAGATTAAAACATTGCCTTTTCAAATGATCATGAAAAAGTTATTCACCGGTTTGCATTAATTAATGCATTTATTGTGTCTTCATCAGATTAAATTGGCGTGTTGCATCTTATTTGATCTAAAATGAAATTTTGCAAACCAGTTTTGGCACTGACGTACTGTCAATACAGAATTTTTATCTTTTCGATTGTAAAAAAGTAAAATATACGTCGTATATTCTGCTGTTCACTTTCCATATTTAAAAGAGCACCAGGTAAAAACTGCTACACGAACTTTTTCACAAGCAAAGTCTAGTTACATCAGCTGTCAAATTATATAATGATTAGGTGGCTTAAGTGTGAAGTTAGCTGTGAAAAAAAATATAATAAGTACTCCGTTAGGAAATAACGAAATTATTTACCGAACATCCCAATATATGCGTCAAATTTTTTCGCGTCTTTTACATTAATGAAATATTTACTTGTTCATAAGGAAGGTTATTATTAAATTTTTCTTTTGATTTTGTATTTATGGTTCTTTATGCATAAATATTTTATTATTTATTTTAAACAAATATGCACAAATTTGTGAAAACGCACAAGAAGTTGCAAAACGAATAATTATTTCCTTAGCATAGTTTTTCTTCATTATTTCTAGTTCTCATTTTAATATTTTATTTTTCCTTATTGCATTCTAAAAACAGGCAATTTTAAAGGCTTAATTCCGCGTCATTGATTTCTATCGTCAGCATAACCACTTTTGTGAGCAAATTTGCATAATCGAATCATTCCATTAAATGTATTATTAAAATATGAAACTGTGTTTATTACAGCCATTGTTTAACCTGGCGATGAAACGAAATTTATCTCATCATTCGTTCTAACTGACCGCTCACTAAGTAGTTTTGGTATATTGTTAAGCAAAGCCCTCTTCTTTATATACAATTTTTTTTTCTCTTCTGTGATAGGAATGGAGAGGAGTTTTCGTAAGATCAAAAAATGGAGAACTTCCGTATGTTCAAGCAGAACTAATATCCCTGTAAACTGTATAACTGTAATTGGTGTTCGTTCTGCCAGCTCTTAAATGCAAAACATACATCGCTGATGATTGATTAAAATAATGTATAGAACAGAAGTTTTTATTAGCATTTTTTTCTGTTTTGTTTTCTGTTCTCAAATATATATATAAAAGGACTCCGGTAATAAGACATGAAATACAAATTTTATGAAATATTTCTCTTAAACTCAAAGGATTTAGTTTGACATATACGTATTGACAGTACATTTGTATGAACTAAATTTTATTTTTATTTTATTTAGTAAAACGAAACAAATTTTGGAATTTCGACAAGGAAACGTTTCCCTTAAACATTCAAAGTATTACGTCTAACATATATTTTATTTTCATATTACCGGCACATTAGCATTTACAACAGTTTAGATACAATTCAAATCGATCATCGATAATGTGAAATGGAATTTGGAATGTGAAAATGAATTGTTTCTCTTTGACTGAATATAAACAACTGATTTTGTTTGAGTTATGAATTACCTGCGTATAACTAGTTCACTTTCTTTTACAATAAATTAAATATATTATATTTATTAAAGCAAAACCGAATTTGGTATATGAATTGTTTCTCTTAGACTGTGATACCAACACCTGATTTTGTTTGAGTTATGAACTACCTACGTATAAACAATTCGCTTTCTTTTACAACTCAAATAGATCATATTTAGTAATGTGAAATGGAATTTGTAATGTGAAACTGAATTGTTTCTCTTAGACTGTGATACAAACAACTGATTTTGTTTGAGTTATGAATTACCTACGTATTACCAGTTCACTTTTTTTACAATAATTTAAATGGATTAAATTTAGTAAAGCGAAACCGAACTTGGTATATGAATTGTTTCTCTTAGACTGTGATACAAACAACTGATTTTGTTTGAGTTATGAATTACCTACGTATTACCAGTTCACTTTTTTTACAATTCAAATAGATATATTTAGTAATGTGAAACGGAATTTGGAATATGAAGCTAAATTTTTTCTCTTAGACTGTGATACAAACAAATTATTTAGTTTGAGATATGAATTTTTACCAATTTACTTCTTTTTACGACAGTTTAAATAGATTATAACAGTTAGATTGTTGTCAAAGAATCTTGTCTTTATTTCTTGCCCGTAAACTTACAATAGGCTAAATTTATAAATCTGTAACACCTGTTAGAACTGTTCGCAATTTAGCTCCCACACTCTTAACATTTTAATAAGTAGGTTTTCTGAGGTTGTCGCAAATTGCTTGAAATGAAGTACTGTTAGAAACTTCTTCCACTGCAAACTCACTCCAAGAATAAGGATGCAGGTACTAAGAAAATTTAGCACCTGCATCCATAGATCTAGAAATCTTAGAAACTTTTTTCACAACAAAGTCACTCCATGACTATGAATGCAGGTACTTGGTAAATTTTAGTACCTGCATCCAATGATGCAGAAATCTAATGATTCGTCAGTTAATCAGTCTAAATCAATGCTCTATTATAGTTTAATAGAATCTTTTATTGATGAATCTCAAGTTTTGTAACAATGAAACATTAAAACGTTCTTTCATTCAGCTCTTCAGTCATGTCTAAAAACATTTCTACTAGTATTTCTGCATTCCAATTAGTGTGTACATATTAGAACCTCGGAGTCCCTTAAAGAGGTTATCGTCTTTATTGTTTACCACATTTAATATCTCTCCCAAATATTTAGTATTTTCGTTATTTATACTTCTCAAAAAAGTGCGAAATGATTTGAATATATACTGAACTACAATTTAAGTATTTGTGGTCATATTTTGTAACATAAAAATTATCGGAAAATATATTTAATCCAACATTTATATTTTAGGTTATGGCAACATCGCGCCAAAAACAAACACGGGAAAGATAGTGACTATCTTATATGCCATTGTGGGAATTCCTTTACTTCTTTTGTGCCTTTCAAACATAGGAGATGCCATGGCTCATTCTTTTAAGTTCATATATTGGAAAGTGTGTTGCTATTTATGTTCTAGTCCAAAAACCCATCATCACAGAAGAAGTCGATCCAACAGATCTAGTCGATATCCATCAGAAGCTAGAACTCTTCAAGGGGCAATTGGTGGACGAGATTTGGAACCTTTCAGCCCTCTCAGTTCGTATAATGGTCAATTAAATAGTATGGATAGACAGAGGGGATACCTTACTTCTAGTTCATTACACCATTCACTGCCTAGACAAGCCCAGTACCATACTTCAAGAGAAGTAAGAAGATTTGCATTTTTCGAAATATCTCTTTTGTGACTCCATTCAAGAGCAATCAAAGGTTTTAATGAACAATTAAATAATCACCTAGGAAAACTCTCTCCTTGTACCACTGAAAAGATTAAAGTCAAATTTTAAAACTATTGGCAAATTTTAAAACTATATTCATGATTTTACATTTTTAATTCTGTAGAAACAAATACAATTTCTTCTAGTTTTTCCAAACTGATATGTCCTAGTACTCACATTAATTATAATTACGATAGAGAGGTTGAGAAGAGTGGCGGGGATTTTGACTTATAGATCCTCCATTTGTTTTTACGATACAAATAATAGTAGTAGTTGTGGTACTTTATTTACGTAGCACTAGAGCTGCACAATGGGATATTGACGACGGTCTGGCTAACACCCCTAAGGATGATCCGAGGACAAGCTATCACAATTTTGATCCTCAGTAGAGGGGATGGCTCCTCCGCTTTGGTAGTCCAACGATCTGCCCACGAAGTCGAGCATTTTATGGTAAAATAGTTTAATGAGGATTGATACCGAACACCCTAGGTCCTTCCACAAACTGCTTGAAGTAGTCACCCACACACATACACTTACCACTGCCATGTTGCTTAATTTTGACTTCGATGATCCACTGGGAATCATTTCTTGACTATCAGTCCACTGTGGGACTTTTTGATTACAAGTGTTGTGTTGTACGTGCATACACCAATATCGTTTTTGGATCACCGCTAAAATGAATCTCAGTGCTTCCCCAAGAAGTGTAACTTTAGCTTCGATATAAATAATTAAATTAAAAAATTCCAAACCATTAACAGAAATAATAAACCCTATGAAACAATGACAGAATGTACCATATTTACAAGTACCTTTTAATCCTTTGAACCAAAATTCCTCTGCCTTTCTTACGACTTGTAATTGTTTCACATTAAACCATTCAATTCGTCAAATAAATATTATTTTTCTTCTTTTCCTAGGCTGAAGTATCAGATGCATACACGGTTCCAATAATATCCAACAAGTACGCATTGCACCCAATGGAAAGTGCTGACATTCCCGATCATCCAATGCACCGCTACAACGCCCTCGATTCCTCGCCCTATCGGTCTGGTGGAACCATAGTTAGACAACCAACTTCAGTCACCAACAGAATTCAAGAACCACTGTCTGCATTTACACCTTTGAACGATGAACTAAGCTTCGAGGCAACTTCTACAATCAGCAGCGAGAAAGACGACGACGAGCAAGAAGTTAGCGTACCCATCACCCTTTGTATTTCTATAGTAGTTGGGTATATTTGTGGTGGTGCCATTTTATTTTCGTACTGGGAGGGTTGGGACTATTCAGATAGTTGCTATTTCTGTTTCATAACTTTGACGACAATAGGATTTGGTGACATGGTGCCGGGAACTGCAGTTTTGTCAGAGGAGTCACAGTTGGCTTTAGGATTGTGCTCTTTATACCTACTTTTTGGAATGGCCCTTTTAGCCATGTCTTTTAACTTAGTACAAGAAGAGGTCACTAAATCAGTTCGAACGATAGGTAAAAGAATTGGTATTTTGTCAGATGAAGATGACGACGATGATGAAATATGAGCTACTTTAATACACAGTACACCGTAAAAGTACCTGGACTCGGTGTGCCGGTACTTTTTATAATAAAGTCCATTTTTACCAGAACATATTACGGAACAAAAAATCTGATATAGCGTAATTTTAACAGCATTAATTCCCCTAAAATCCCTGAATCACTCTAATTAAATAAATATTATGAAACAGTATAATTGTAAATATTATGGTAAAATATTTTACTATAAAAATGGATTTTACGGATGATGCAGGTACTTTATATCCTACTTTGATCCGGAATTTTTTATAGTGTACGGCAACTCTAGTCCTGTTTGTGTACTTGTTGAACTTTCACAAACTTGTTTTTGTATTTTAGTTTTATGAAAGAATTATTTGAACGTTTGTATAGCAATGTTTCGTTAGACCTTTTCTGATATTTCGTAGTAATAACGAAATCATTTTAAATTGTTTTTGAAACTGTAATTCGTCCATCTGTATCGAAGATAATGTTTTTAAAGCCCAATTATCAAATTTTTTATTTAAAAAATCTCTGTGTTTGTTCAAATATTTTTCGAAACTTTACAAATATTAAATATTAATTTCTAATGAGTTTTGATGGTGGAATGCATATTCGTTTTAGGTACATACATTTTATCAAAGTGTTTAAACCAATCTTGGCATCATTATTATTAAAAAAAATCTGTACTCTGGTATTCAAAATTATTTGAATTAAATGCAATTTCGTACTAAACACAATTATATATTATCAATTTTATATTCCTATTATCTATTTAATATTTCTATTATCTTTTTCATATTCGTATTGCCTAATTAATATGTTTAAATGCATTCTTACTGTTCTTAAAATAAATAAAGTTTATAATAATTCTTATAAATATTTATAATAATATGTGTACGTACTTATATTTCCATATCAAACTTAGATACGATTATTAAACACAATTATATATACCAAGAATATTTAAATATAATAGCAACATAAATGTTGCTATAATATTTAATATTTATATAATATTAATAATATTTATATAGCAACAAACAGTGCTAGCAACATAAATTCATAATTTTAAAATATTATAGCTAGCAACATAAAGCAATATTATATACAATATTAAGCAAGGCTTACAATAGACATGAAAAATTGTTCCGTCATAAAATTGCAACTGTTTTAATTTTGTTATATTTGAAATAAAACTTTTCAAACACTGATGAAATATTTTATTTATTGAGGCAACAAAATAAAAAATACAAAAGTATCAAAATGCTGAACGTGTAGTTATATAATTTTGTGCATATAATTTACAATTCAGAATATTACAAGACTTTGGTTTAAAGCTGTACTTGAATTAACTTTTTAAAAGTAATTCCATAAATTCATTTGATTTCACATTTTTTCTGGTAAACCAATAAAGAAATAACAATAAAATATTTTTTTATGATTCAGAAATTTGACGCACAATTACTGGAAACACGTGATTGATTCGAATTGAAAATAAACGAAAATTTAATAATTTATACACTAAGAATCTCTTTATTTACATAATTGCTTTCATGAGTAAACTATTCGACTTTTTTCTTTTTTACAATAAGTTTTTCATCGTCAGCTGGGTGAATATATGTATGTACATTTATTTATTACCGCATAAATTATGCTATGAAGTTCTATAGGTAAAACGAAAAATACCGTGATGCATAAGGAATTATCAAAATGGGATCAGATAATCCAGAACCTGATAATCCATAACGAAGTTAAAAATTTAATCATTGTATAATTTTTCAGAAATATTTACATGTTTTTAAAAAGTTAAAAATACTGAAAAGAATATCTCAACATTTACATGGTACAGTATAAAAAGCAAACACTTTTATCAGCAGTAAGTATTAGTGTAAAATAGAATTCAATAGAATTCCTCTTTATTTTATGTATTCCGATCAACGGAGTAAACGTACTAATAAATCTGACTAAAAAATAGTAAAATATTTCTAAAAAATTGACTTCATAGTAGTTCTCAATACAGTGACACACCAAATGTTTATCATTTGCATCTACTTCAAATATAAATATCTTAAGTACAAATAATCGCACTTTTTTTTAAATCAAACATAAATTACGATATATTACACAAATTTACAAAAAAGCTATTTTAATAAATTACTGATTAGTTAAAATCAGTTTTGCTGAAGAAGTCTAATTTAAGTCGACCAGATCTAAAGCAAAAACAAAATCAAACCTTTTACCAGCAAAGCTAACAGTAACAAAATTTGAAAAAAATTGAATGAAATTCTAAATCAAGCATAAAATAAAGTATATTACAAAAATTTACAAAACTGTCCTAATAAGTACTGATTAGTCCAAAGTCAGTTTATTAAAATCAGTCTCAATCGACCTCATTCAAATAACAAAAAATAGTACACTAAAGTGACCAGCAAAGCCAACAGTAACAAAATTTTAAAAAAATTTAATGGAATTCTAAATCAAGCATAAAATAAAGTAAATTACAAAAATTTACAAAGCTGTCCTAATAAGTACTGATTAGTCCAAAGTCAGTTTTATTAAATTCAGTCTCATTCTTGTGGTCGACCTCATTCAAATAACAACAAAATAGTACACTAAAGTGACCAGTAAAGACAAGTGTAACAAAATTTTAAGATTAAATTCTAAGTGGAGCATAAAATAGGGATATATTACAAAAATTTACAAAAGGTGTCTTACTAAGTACTGATTAGTTCAAAATCAGTTTCATAAAAATCAGTCTCATTTAAGGAGGTCGACCGGATTCGAAAAGCAACAAAATTCGAAAAACAACAACTAACGTGACCAATTAAACCAAGTATAACAAAATTCTTAGAACATAACTGATTTCGTTTATAATTTTTTTCTTAACTTGGCGTTATTTTTCTTTAAATGCGCATCATAAATATCACTAAGCCCCAGTATCAACTAGGACCCCGACTAACGCTTCTGAACAATTGCTGTATGCTCTGATATTCTCTCACAGCTATGATCTTCAACAGTTAGATTCCCCAGTGGGCTTGACAGGCTTATGTGTACTCAATTCACTCGATGTGTCTGGCGAATCTGAGTAGACACCAGGAAGAGCTGTATCACCAGAAACAGTTGTCACCAGGTAAAAAGTACCGTCCGCTAATTGTTGAACCTTTCTACTAACTGTAGGTATGGCTTTAGGCTCAACAGATTTACTTCGATTTTTTCCTATAGAAAAACAATCATTATATTAAAAAGTTATTCTAAAAGACAGATTGCATTTATAGTGGGTTGTAAATTAAGTGCTTAATGCTATTAATGGAAAATGATAACAGTCTAAGTGAATTTACAATCATAAAGCATGATATTGCTACGAATTTGTAAATGTATATATAATTTTGTGATTATTCTTTTGTTATGAGGCTAAATATCTCTGACGGATCCTAAATAAACAGTTTAATTGGGTATAATATGAAAAAAACACAACTACTTCGATTTAGTAGGAACAACATATGACGCAATGCTAAACGAATGGAATTTAGTTGTTGTTTATTTAGTTATTGTTATTAGTAGTTGTTGTTATTTGTTTTAGTTGTTGTTGTTTATTTAGTTGTATTTAGTTTCAATAACTTTTCTTTATAATGCAATAAAATCTGGCGAGCAGCTATTTAAACGATCGAACACTTCGTTTGTTTATTTGTGGCTTGAAGTTAGGCTCGCAGAAAATGCCGTTCATGGGTTAAATTTAGTAGGAACAACGCAACCTGTGACGTAGGCTATATTATACCCAATTAGAAAATTTGCAAAAAAAAGCATCATCAGCAGTTTACATCGTGGCTTTTATTGTCAGAATGTGCCTATTAGCATTTTCGTAAAATAATAAAAATAAGTTGTACTTTTCTGATATGTTGATTTTTTATTTGATGCCAATTCTTTTAAAGAACTCAATTTTCTTGTGACACTTTCCAACTATTTTGTTTTACAACAATTTTATAGATGTAACGCAAAAATTAGTTAATTATTTTTTTAAAAAAAAACTTCTTCAACGATAATTAAAATCTTTTAAAAAGTTTATATCTTACTAAAAAAAAAAGGTTTTTTGATATCATTTTTGTTTTTCTCATCTTAGCTCGACTATCTTCACTATTTGCTACTCTAAACTGGTCTGATAAAGTTTATGAGAATATTGCATATTCCTTAAATGTATTGCAAAATTCTTTTTTCGCTGTATGTTAATTATTAAGATGCAATTTTGAATTCAGATAAATAATAAATTTTTTCAGCATTTAGTAAGTTACTTTATAGAATTTAAAAAAAGAAAGAAATTGTTAAAAATAAAATTGCATTTTAATTTTTTTCAAAAGGGAAGTAGAAAAGCTATGACTTAAAATAATTATTTATAGGGCAAGTGTTATTGATTTTGAAAGTATCTTAAAGTTTAGTTGATTTCCGGATTTAATTTTTTTAATGTTAATTTTTTAATTAAAAAAATGATTGAAGAATTCTAGGTTTTTATATTTTTTTTCCTTTAACAGGGCGCAATTCAAGTCTTAACTGAGCAGCCCCAGTTAAGCATTCTATTAATTTGTTACGTATTTCTTTCTCTTGACATTTTTCATTTTATTCTTCATCTGCGCATTGTAATAGAGGGCGTTGTTTTCTTTAGGTTTTAGTTTTTTCTTTTCATTCGGCTTGCTTGTGAAATTGATGTTTGACCTGTGACTATGTGAGTTTTTATTTTTCTGATGACTTTGTTTGAGTTTCTTTTCTTAATTTGTTATTTATATTGCATGTCTTTTTTCCTGGACTTCTATACAAAACCATCGGGGTATTGAGGGAGTTAATTTAGGCATTTGCTTCTCCCTCAATTAGAAATGGTTTTGTTTTTATGGCTACCGAGGCCGGTACCCCCTGAAGACGTCGGCTTCGGTGGTCATATTTTCATTTTTATTTCCTTCATTTTCTTTTCCTTTAATGAAAATTGAACTTTTTAATTGCAGAATAAAAACTACTATGGATTAAAGACGGCATATTATAAATATAAAAAATTAGAAATTTCCTTGAGTCATAATGAAAAGTATCACATAATATCACGTAAGTCCGGCACATTCTGGGCTTGATAGCGGCCTGGTTTGGCTAGGCAATGAGTTCCCAATTTTTCGCAGGTATCCAGTTTAAATCACTTACTCTGGGGATGTTGGATCAATCTTTCAATACATTAAATATATTTTCTATGGATTTCAAACTCGATCTCGCACTCGATCATCATAAAGATATAAGCTGAAAGACTACAACATAGTGATAATTTAAAATATTAAAAATTTTTTTTGGATGATCACTATATAGTCTTGTTTCGTGGAAGAAGTTCCTCTAGTGAGTAGGCCTAGTCCATAATAAGAAAAACAACTCGAAACCACAGACTCACCCGTGACTTGAATCTTATGACATGATTCCCCGAAGGAACTAATTTTTTGTCTGGGGAGGTTATTATTCTTAAAAAAGGAGAAAAATTTTTATTTCCGTGAGCTTGTCATGCTTATTCTGTGAGAAGATAAATTTTTTTCGGAATTACTTGTTTTATTTATTTAAAATGAAGCACACTTATTTTGATGTTTTTTTTATCAAAGTTAATGAGAAACATGATTTTAAAAAAAATTATGTTTTAATATAAAAGTCAGAAATAAAGAAATAGCATACCATATTTTAAATGCTGTAAAGAAATAGAAAGTAATAAATTTTTGTGTGATGATAAAAAATAATAATAATGAAACATTTTACTAGTAATTTAAATGTAAATATATGTGTTTGAACATGACTTAAAAATTTATTTGTTTTAAGAAATACAGTAAATAGGAAAAAATATTTAATTCAAAAATCCTTTTTATTTTATTTATAAAAGTAGCGGAAAGAGATTACTAGCTAAAATTTTAAATTTACGAATAAATATTATTTTAAAATTTTATCTTAACAGTGTTTTTATCAAGGTTTACTGAATAGATATGTTACCTTCATCAAAAATAATATTAATAATAAGTAAATAATTGATAAAGAATTTTTTTTAGTATACTAAGGCTACTCCATTTAAATATACAATTTTCACGTACAATTCCATATATAGAAATAATATTCTATATATGGAGAAAATTGAATTAATATTGTTATAAATAAATTAAGGAATTCCCCGAGATATTAGAAAGTAAAGCACTTATTTTTCATTAGCTCAACATTTTTGTAGTAAAACTGATTGTGACTCTCATATTTAACGCCAGAGATTGGAGTAATAATGTACTCTTTGTACGTAACAAGCATTTTTGATAAATACTTATGCGATTAACAATGAGCAAGATTAATATGGCTCCCAAACAATTCAAAACCTTAAATGTTCAAGAGGTAATGATATATTACTATAGTTGTCATGTTAAAAGTAGTGGTTAAGGGAAGGAGAATATTTAATTCTTATACATACTACCCAAGTTTGAATCCCACCCGACGGCTGGTTGATACGCTCATACTGCTTCCTACTCTAATCAATTGTAGTTCTGACAATAAAATAATTTATTTCCTTCGAGTAACGCAAAAGTAGATTAGAATCACTTGAGCAGTACTGTCATTGATGCTTTACTTTGGCTTCTGAGTTGGATGATTGAAAATTATTATGACGCAGAGATGAGAGTTATTTTTACGAAATCAACTTTTTGGGTTGGGCGCTCAAGTAACGCATTATTAAAGGGTATAAAATAAGATATATTTTTCGATTTAGTTCCTTTTTTAAGAAATTACAGCGGAACTACTAGACCAGGGGTTTCCAACTTACACGAGGCCGAGGGCCGCAAATAAAAACACCAGTCAAATGGCGGGCCGCAACTTTATCAAAATTTTATATAGGACTCTTTTAAGTATGAAGGAACATGAAATATTACTGTCAGATTTTTATCAAATAGTACAAAACAAAAGTATTGAATTACAAATTAAAATAAGAAGTAGATTTTTTAAAATATTCAATTGCATATTAAAAAATTCTGGCTACAATAACTTTAATGTGCACCTATGTATGAAATAATTAATGTGCAACAGATATCAAATTGTTAAGATATTGATTGGTATGTTCAAGTTCACAGAAACGAAGACATTAGGTTTTTTTTTAACGAAAGAAAAGTGTTTTAAATCCATATAGATTTTTCACGGAAATTGTCAGCTAAAAAAATGACAATATATTTTTGTTAGCGGGAAATTAAAAAAAAGGCTCCTCAGACCTAGAGTTGGTAACCACTGTACTAGACAAACATTAAGGGTTTTGCCATTAAAAATAATTAACTTTTAAAAAACTTACTTGCTTTATCTCGGGCACTGGAGGTTTTTTTGCCGTTTTTAGTTTTTTTCTTTTCCGAAGGAGCTTCGTCATCTATGAAGAGTGGATTCTGGTTTAATGCTGTAAATTTTGGCTTCAGTCCGGTCAAGTCACTCGAAGCTCTTCTAGCTTTGGCTCTTTGGATTTCAGAAGCCGATAATGGGCAACCAGAATCGCTATCAGTTTTATTGCCCCAAAAACCTTTCCTGTCCTGCTTGCCGTTTTTATCCTTATGGTCTTTCTTTGGTTTACAGTGTGGTTTAACGCCATTTTCAGCAAGGTGACTAACATCGACGTAGTGGGTGGAAGACACGTGAGAGCTCTTCGAATGATTCTGAAATTTTTTAAATGTTAAAATAATGCCATGAGCTATATCTTTTATTTTTATTGACGAACTTCTTTCTGATTTCTTTGGCTTCGGTGGCGCTGGATCAAATCCATGTTTGAAAGCAGTGCTGGCAACTGCGGCGGTTGAATAATAATGTATCTCTGGCTCTGATGGTAGCTTATTCATCAACCTGTTTCCCCGATTTGGAATGGAATTGAAAGGAGAGGTGAACAAATGGCGAAGTGATTCTGGAGTTGGAGGATTACTATTCATAAGTTTCGAGGAATTACCATTACCAACTTTTTTACTATGCTCTTTATGGCGTTTCAGACTGGGCTCTAACATATGGGAATCGTAATCCCTTAAATTTACATAAAAACTAGAACTTGTGCAACTAGAATGCCTGCTTTGTAGAGTACTATGTTCCGAACAACTTGATGCATAATCGCATTTGACAGACATAGAACATGAATCTGAATAATCTAAATCATTCATTGACGAGGAGCGTCCATTAATGTAATAGCTGTTATTCTTCATGACTGTCCAGCTGGATGTCTCAGAGTCCGAAGGGCATGATGTCGTTTCTTTAAACATATCTTCGTATACATGAGAAGATTCTGAGCATGGGCTTGCATTCCTGTTTGATGAAGATGATACTGAAGAAGTTGATAGTTTTCCATTTTGCTTTATTAGTTTTGCACATAACGGGATATCTGCTTCACTAGCAAAATGTTGAAACCTTAAGGCAGAAAATCCCGTTGAGTTGGCAGCAGCGCTCGGAGAAAAACTATTTTGACTGAGTTTTCTTTGGTTCTGAATCAGTGAACTTTCATCTGAAGAGCTCGCATATTCTTTCTGCTTTGAAATGTCACACAAACTCTTTGATTTCGTTTTTAAATGCGAAGAGTTTTCATTGAAATCCCTATTTTCTTGTTTATCACAGATAATGTTCATATTTCTATTGGCATCATTAGGATTTAAGTTACTTTTTTCAGTACCGGTTTTCTTTACAAGTGCATAGCTATTATGGCCATTCGAAACCTTTGTTGAATTGGGTGATTCATTTTTGTCATTTGCTGTATTAGAGTGCGCATAATTTAATTTTTCATTGCTGTTCTCAAATTCATTTATCGTATTCATATTATGTCCTGCCAAGGGATTAACATTAGCATACTCATTAACATTAGCATACTCATTAATTACATCAGCGCCATTAAGTTTTCTTTCCAATTTTACCTCAATGTTTCCGTTAAAGGCATTATTTGATATTTTTTCACTAGCCATCTGCGGATTAGTGTTTCCTTTAGCGTTAACCACGTTTTTTTCTGGCATTCTTATTGAGTTTGGGATAACACCGTTACACTTGTAATGCTTTTTTGCGTCGCCTGTTTTATCCTGCTTAGACTTGTTATTAGGTTTTTCCATATTTTTGGTTGAGGAAGCATTTTGAACCTTATCTATTACCTCTTGTGATTTTTTGAAAGAGTCGGAATTCGACATACAGCCTGAAACAGGAATTTCTGTAACATTTTTTGCTGCTGTATGCTTATTTTCTTTTAAACCACGAAAATCATTTTCGTATGGAATACGAAGATCTATTTCACTAGGCAATGTTTCTGATTTGTTAATCGAGTTTAAGTCTACTAAAGATGCTCCTATTTTTCCTGTTTTAGTTTTTTCTTTACTTTGCATCGCTGAAGGCTTTTCAAATAAACTTTCATCATTATCATCGCATATATTATCCATAGATTTTGATTTGAAGCCTTTAATTAATCCAGTCTGGGGGCTAGGATTTTGATTTCTTTCGTATTCAGCGTCATCAGACGCATAATGAGCTTCTTCCCATGTCGAAATATTAAAAAAATCATTGCCATTGCTAGAAGGTGAGTAATCTATTGGCAATCTATCTGGAGAACTTTCTTTAGTGTTGGTGTCAGAAATCTTTAAACTGGGCCGGGACACTATTTGTACGGTGATATGCTTTTTGTTTGATTCAGAACCTTTTTGATAATTTAAGTGAGAGAAAGTAGTAGAATTATCGACATAAGCTGGCGGAAAGCGAACATCGTTGTTGTAGCATTCAGCATTATAGAAAGGTTCTGTATTAATTGTTTCTGCAAACGACATACTATTGGGATAGACTTGCACGTCAGAAACGAATTGTGCTGAGTTGTTTTGAGAAATATATCCATTGCAGGATTTAAATTGCTGTGCGTCATTCCTGCTGCTGTTTAATAGATTGTCTTCTAAGCTCTCTGATTCGTGAAATGTACCGGAAGACTCTTGATCAAACTCCATTTCTTGATACTGCCAACAACATTCCTTTTCTTCATAAGATATGACTTTGGGTTGCACGCATGTAACACTCTTTTCAGAATTTCCATTTGCATTACAAGCTTTCGTTGAATCATTACCTGAAAAAGCAGTGGACTGTTCAAGTAAAAAAATTTCTAATAATAAGGGTAATAAATAATAAATAAAAACTTATAAAAATATTTAATTGCTTTTTTTAATAAAATTAAAACTTATAATATGAAAGAGATATCCATATGAAAAGTATCCAGATAAATCTCCCTGAAGCTTTTGATTTTTTTTCCTGATAAACATTTTGAGAAATTTTCTTATTACTACATTAATCATGTCTAGTACTATCTAATACTTACAAATAGGATCGTAATGTTTCGGTTCGTTGTGAAATTTCTTCAGTGGAGAGACTTCTGGCGATAAATCGGACAAAGATTCGGAACTAGTTTCCTCAGGATCCGACGCATTCAACTGATTATCCAATGATATGGTGTCTGGGTCATCTGAAACACCCATATTTTGTTAGTATTCATGTTGAACATTCAATTTTTAATACCTTAATAAACAATTACTACAATATAGTTAATGTTACAGTTTTATCCTTTCACGCGTTGGAGGTACAGATTTTATTGAGTGAAAGCTGAAAACTAAACCGCAAGATGATTATGCTTATCGTGCGAATGTAAAATGTTTTCGTATTTTATATATGTTCAGCTATTAAATATAAAGCAAGTGATTGAATAGAGTTTTATTTTTAAGCAGAAAATATGCTTCCACGTGTTTGTGTACAGAGTGTTCCATAATTCCTCTCCTAAATTCACATGTTTTAAGAATCCTTGTCAAAAAATATGCACATTAAGGGTCACAAATTAATATTTTAACGAAAAAAAAGCAACGAAACGATGACAATCACTTTCAAGAATTGTCTTAGGAAATAGACTGGGAAATAAAAAATTTGATTGTAAAAAACACTTTTAAAAATCCGCCATCAATCAAACAGGTTTCGATATTTTAAGTCCCGTCGTTTTAAGTTGCGGATCCCCAAATTTAGATTAGGTTTAACAAGCAAGCTTCAATGGAGAACAGTTTGTGTTTGTTTATGTCCATGAAAGCTATCTCTAAAAAAGAAGAAGAAAAAACAATTTGTGAGTGGACAGTTAACGCGTTTTACTTCAGCATGGCCCATTGGTCCATCTTCATTGTGTCGGAACTCTCGCAGTAAACTGATTTTTTACGTTATTTATTTTTCAAAACTTAGCACTTCTCAAAACGCCACAGATGGCAATATAATCGTCATTTTTGTGTGAAAATGGACATAAATAGTTGTTCTCGATTGATCTCCAAATTCCAATTTATATCCCCTGATTAAAATTTTTTTAATTCATATTTCTGCAAAGATTCTAAATGTATAAAGACAGCAATTGCGGAAGACAATGCCTTTTTCAAATGATCTAGTAATGCTTTATCGTAACCGAGCGTGCAATATAATTGGTAACAATATATTGCTTTTTCGTACCATACAAGATACGGTAAAAGATGATCTCTTATCAATGATCTTCAGCGGAGTCTTTTGTCAATTATTTTCACCTGGAAAAATATAATTGACAATAAAATTGAAATAAAAATAATATTTTAACTCATATACAGAAAAAAAAACACAAAATTTCTGATTTTAAATGGAATATAGATTTAATGCCATTGGAGTAATTTTAAATTATCCAGCATTTAAGTTTAAAAAATAGATATTGCTTAGTTGCTTAAGTAAAGAAAATATTTAAAAGAAGGAAAAAAACTGTTCAGAAAACCTTTGAAAATTTAAAGTAATATTTTAGTCAGAATTTGAGAATTAAATCAGTATCATTTTTTTAGATAAAAAATAAAATTTATGAATGCGTAAAAAGATTTAAATTGTTCATACAAAAAGCCTTTAATGATCTGATATTAAAGAATAATTAATATCCTAATTTATAAATAGTATTAATTTTAACTTAAATTTTTTTCTCTGTAAAGGATGTAATCATAGTTTTCAGCTTGAATATAATTTATTGAATTTACAAACTTTTTTTTAACTAACTATAATTTTTTAGTTTTAAAATTATGTTTTAACTTTTTTGCATTAAAGAAAAAATCTTGAAAACGGTAAGTTTTTTTAAAAACTCTCTGACTCAGGATCAATATCTCTTGAAATATTAAATATTGAGTTTCTGATCAGATTAATATATTAAAAAGTTTTCAATTTTATTCATAAAAACAGCTTAAATATTAATAATTTTGATTATTTAAATTATTGATAATTAGGGACAATAAAATGCTTGGACTTAAACATCATAAGTTCAATCGTTAAAGTCAGGGATTGAAAATGTAACTATTTTTTCAGCATTTTAAATTTTTTATCTATGTTTAATGAAAAAAGAAACTAAACTCAGTGGCACCATAGCCTATGAATGGCTATGGCCTACTATGTCATCCTGGTTTTCTTGATCATAGGTGTGCAGGAGTAGATGTTCCGGTTGAGTGGTCAGCCGAACGCGAAACCCCCAGTGCTTAGTCCCCAAGTATGATTGGTACTTATTTTAACAAACCACTGAAGGAATGCAAGGCTGAGTCAACCTTTCCCGATTCGAGGATCGAACCCAGGATCTGTGGCATGGGCGAGTGAAACTCTATTATTCAGAAATTAATAAGCTATCGATTTTTTTAGCAATACTAAATTTGAAAAATGTTTCTGCATTGCGAAACATTAGCATTTTTAACTCAATATTTTTTGTTAAATTTAGTTACTTTATAAATTTTTTCATTAAACATTTTACGAAAATTTTGACTAGAACATTTTAAAAACATTTAAGTTCTAAAAAAAAAAATCTTATTTTATAATGAAATATGTGACATATTTCTGAAAAAATTATGACACGGGCATAGAAAATTTCAAATGCCACTTGACAAAAAGAAAGATAAATATAAAAATTATATTTTTTCCTTCATATTTTTAATAGCAGTCATGATTTCAGAGTGAAAAAGGAAGGTTTTTTTTAGGTAAAATAAAAATAAATTTAAAAAAAAGAAATGCATGTTTCGGGAAAAAAAATAAACTTAAAAAACATAGTTTTTTTGCAACAACTTTGTGAAAATAAACTGCCAACTTTCGAAATATCATACCTCCACAATTATCGTCAAAACAAAAAACAACCCAATTTTACCTTATTCTATGATTATATCAACAAGCGATTGACCCATGCATTCAAATAAATAAAAAAAAACTTCTTTAGGTGATAAATATCGCTTCCGAATGCAAAATCCAAAAAAGAAGGACATCCTATGGAACTCATTCCAAATAAGTTACCGGAATGTTACGAATTGGCATTGTCGCTAGTGTTATGACATTTTGCCCCTGAAGTCCAACAAACACAGGAAGAATCGTTGAACCAGAACATGAAGGGGTAATCGGCCCTTTTTCTATTATTTACTCTACTTTTTCGGTAGAAACAATGGAAGAATAAATATACAGTCATAATTCTCATTGCATTTACAGAACGAAGAAGCTTTCTCGGAATTATTTTGAGTGGACAGCCACGCCATGCCTTTGGTATTCACAAAGAATTTCTAGAGGACAGATCGAACGTGAGTTATGTTCATGGTTTGGGATGAAGTTTATGTCTCGAAGAAGATTCATGTCACTTATTCGATAAATATGTTTTAAAAAAAACAAGAAATGGACTACTAGTGGTAATAAATATGAAAACCGTCACATTTAGAATAGATGGGCCTGGGAAAAATTCGCTTCGCGCAACAAACAAAAGTCGTACTAATCTATCTAACTGAAAGATTGATATTTTCCTTAAAAAAAAATTTCATAGAACTATGAATATTCATGATTGCTTCCCAAAAAAAAATTATATTCAGAATTAAGCTATAGAAAAAATTGAAAACACATGAATTGCCACATTCGTAATACACTTGCTTTCGTAAAAATCGTTATCATTCCCATGGATTACAATCATTTCCATTATAGATTATATTGTTTCGCATTATGCTCATTTCATCAAAAAAATAAATAAAGCACTCCTATAACAGCCATTGTGGGCCAAAGGTTCTTGGCCAACAACATGACCAAGTACATGATTGAGGCAATGTGGTCAGTGTGGCATTTTGTAAAGAAAACAAACCTTTTTTTAATCTTAAAGCATACTTGTTAATAGATTTCTGGAGCACATATTACAAAGATTTAAAATACGTTTTATTTTTAAAAAAAGTAAAGAATTTGAAGTTATCTTTCTAATTTTTTAAGCACTGAATGAAATGTGGCAATGAATATTCAATTAAAAGAAAAGCAATTCATTCAACCAATTATGTCATTATTTTGCATTTTAAATTGATTTCTATTTCTTAATATTAAAATTATAACGTTTATAAGTGCATATTCAAATTTCACGGAAAAAATCATACATCTTTAAGTAAGAGGGACAATGCTAATTTCACTTTTGCTTCAATATTATTAATTTAACTAAACAATGAGTTACGTCTATTTGAAAACACAATTATTTAACGTTTTTTTCAACCCAAATCCAAAACATTATTAAGTATTATATAAATTTTCTTTCTCTTATAATTATTAGATTTACCTCCTTTAAATAGTGCTTCTGCACAGAAGTTAATTTCAAAGTTTTGAAACTGTAGAATAGTAGGTTATCTTTCAGAAAATGCTAATTGCAGCATTGTTATAGTATTATTTTGCCCGAAAAATTTGATTTTACTATTCTAGAACATAGTGCTGAGAACAACAAGCATGATTGGTGTTAGTATTATTGAAAATTTTTCTCTGAACTCGTTAGTATTTTGAATACACAGATATGCACTTGCATTCCGGCATTATTTATACTAATGCATATTATTCTAATAATTATATTGTATCTTTTTGCCCGATAAAAAACCTTATTAAAAATAATTCTTAAAATTATTTTTGAGAATAAAGAGGAAAAGATATTTTTCTCACATAACCATACAACATTAATTTATATATTGAAGCAGTAAGATTCAGTGAAATGACATTAATTCTCATTTACTAAATTTCTCGGAAAAAATGGTTAAATCACAATTTATTTAATTTTTATTTTACCATATTTAAACAAAACAGTCAAATAATAATCTATCTAATACGGTTAAATCACCAGAATTTTATCGCACCAACTAGGCCCACCTAATGAAGACACTTATTTCCTTGCAGCTGGTTAAATATTATGGCCAAGAATGCTAATTGGTCGCTCTCATGACCAACGGAACGAGGGTTCGAGTCCCAATGTTGACACCACATTATTTCCTCCTTTCCCTTCAACACATGAAAAGTTTTAACGCCCTGCACTCCCCAATTTGTGACCCTGGACTATCAGAATACGATATTCTCATTCACGGCGATAGCAGTGTCGCAAAGCTGTTGAACACAAAAATCTAGTATTTTTTAAAATCTAGCACATAAAATCTAGTATAAAATCTAGTACAAAAATCTAGTATCTAGTAGTATCTCTTACGATAGGTGAAACAAACAAATGAACTAATTAAATCACATTCCACGGTTCATTTGATAAAATACTACTCAACCGCAACCTAACTCTATTGCACATTATCTTACGAAAAGCATTTATAACTAGCATGGCTCAAAAAGTTTAGAAAAAATTTTACTGAACATAGGAACTAGGCTTTTTATTACATAGTGCTGGACATTGGAAATGGAATGTAGGAAATATTGCAGTGTCAACGCTGGGATTCGAACCCCAGATCTGACAGATTAGTCCTGTCGGCTACAATATAAACGCAATGACAAGGGACTAAGTGGTTTCCTTAAGTGGGCCTAATTGGTGCGATAAAATTCTGCTTGTTTAACCGTATTATCTGAAAGCACGTAATGAACAGTTTTTTATACTGAAAACATTAGGATTACTATCTCATTTATGGTTATTTGATAGTTTTGTTTGAATATGGAAAAATAACAATTAAATAAATTGTTATTTAACTATTTTTAACGAGAAATTTTTAACAGTGTAACAAATTTATGCATGTAAACCATTTCATTCGTAAAATTATCAAAGTGTATTACCGCCCCCCGTAAAAAAAGAAGTGTAATTAGTCAACTAAATTACTTACCTATATGGGATTCAATAAACTTCGCTCTCAATTTTTTACTGAGACTAACCCATTCAGGTTCAGATTCTTTTCGAGATTTTGATCTTTTTTCTTTCTTTCCAATTTTCTCAATAATTCGAACGTCACCATTGCATTCTAGAACATCTGGAGGAACGTGTACGGGAACATCACCTGACACCAGAGGATATTCTAAAAATGATGTATTTATATTTCATAATGATTCAAGTCTGATATAATCCAAAATTTAAATCAAAGTTTATCTTACTTACATAAATATTTACTTGCAGATTTTAAAAAAACACTCTTTTTTTAAACTTACTAAATTAAAGATTATCAAATTAAGGAATCAAATTAAAGAACAAAATTAAAGATTTGATACATAGATTAGATACAATGTATCAGATTAAAAATGTAATATTCGAAGATTTAATAGAATGTATGAAATCGATACATCGCATTGAAGGAAGTTCCTTTACACAAAATTATAGATAAACTTTAACAATGATCAAACAATAAATTTTGCAACAAATTTTTAAAACAAAATTTTTCAATGAATACGAAATTGCTAAACAGTTTATCAAGTTATATACGATTTTAGTTTTCTTAAATACGCAAAAGTTATTCATGTACTAATAATTCTATTAATTTTTAGTTATTTTACTTGAAAACTCGTCTACAAAAAGTAAGAGACTACTTGCAGACAAGTTATTTAATATATATAATATATTTAGTACTTCTAAAATATATTAACACAATTATGGTGAGTAATTATTGGTTGTGTTTTAGACTGTTGAACTCAAATCTTTCTAATAAATTTACATGAGTCAGCTGTTATATTATTATTAATTATAATAACAATATTACATTATTATTATTATATTAGTATCATAATGTTATGATCATAATACTATTATTATAATATTATTATTATAATCAATTTGCTGTTATTATAAAATTTTAATAAAACAAAGTAATATGTTTTAAAATTTTTTGTATGTAAAATAATGTGTATAAAGTTCTTCACAAAAGTAGAATACATTTTTTTAATAGATTTTTAAACTGTATGCAAAAAAAAGTTTATGAAATTTCTGATATAATTATAAATGATAATCAGAATTCATACATTTATTTTTAATATTTTATAACTATTATAAAGTGATATTTTATAGTTATGAAGTATTTTTAAGGCACTCAATACAGCTTTCTAGAAAAATGACTTTATAATTTGATTTTGTACTACTTCATGTTATTTATTTCAGACTGGCAAATAAGCTATACTGCAAATATTCTAATTATCAAGCATTTTTCTTAAAGCTAACATTTTTTTGAATTCTCAAAAAAATTAATTCAAAAAAAGATACTTTTTGAGCATTATTGTTTATTTATTAAAAGCTATTTTTTGATAGTCAGCCCTGTTTTCTCATATAAGTCTCCCAAGTTTCCTTGATAAGAAAATGAACGTCATCATAGTGAATTATCATACCTATGTGCTCTTCAATGAATTTCGTGCATAATTTTCTGCTCAGTTGAATCCAAGGTGGTTCTCCATTTTCAGATTTTGTTTCTGTTATATCAACAACGACCCTGATCTTCTTATCTGGTTTCTGAGGCTGTTGAATAGCGGTCTTCTTCGGCTCATTTGCTATTACACTTGGAAGAACTACAGACTGTTGTGGAACTCCGTTGTCTACTCCTTCCGGTTCCTCGTATGGATAGGAATCGGCGGAATCTTGATCTACAAAATTTATGGAAAACAAATTTATGGGTATCCAAACAAAAAGAACTTCCAATAGGCTTCAAAACTTAAAGGAACAAATTTATGAGCCTCTAAAAACGTACTAACAAGGATATACACTGCCCCCCCCTCCAAAAAAGTGAACCACACTAAATAACTTTCGATCTAATGATTGGATCTTCACGTTCTAGGAGTCATTCGCAATAGTTCGAAGGGGTGATCTCAAATATCTTAATTAATTGGTGCAAACGAAATTTTAAAATACAGAATCAGACGCAAAAATGTACTTTTTCTGAATAAACATACCTTTTTTAACAGATTCGGATTTCAAACCTCCAAAATATAGGGGCTAGCCGCAATTAGGGAAATACGGTTTCCATAGTTTGGTCAGGAGAGCAATTTAAATTTTGGACCCCTTAATGTTAATTTCACTTTTTGTGTTTTTCGTTATATCTCGAGAACTTTTTAACCAAACTGAAATTTTATGCACACAGTTATGAGATTCGTTTATTCAAAGATAATTCCAAGCAAAAAAAAAATTTAGTAAATATTTATTATTCTTTATTATTTTATTAAATAATAGTCGAAAAATTTTTTGAATTGTAAGGTATAAAATTTTTTACATCATTTTAATGCACGTAATTTTACATGACAAAATAATTTGTGTGAAATCGGTTGAATAGTACCTGAGAGATCGAATTTTAAATGCGATTTCTCAGAAACTGTTCAACAGATTTCTATTTTGTCATTTAAACTTACATTCTTTAAAATGATGTAAAAAACTGTATACCTTACAATTCAAAAGTCTTTCGAATGTTACTAAATAAAATAATAAAAAATAATAAATATTTACTAAAAGTTATATTTTGTAAGTAATTATCTTAAGGTAAATGAATTCTATAATTGTGTGCAAAATTTTTTCAATGTGTTTCAAAAGTTCTCGAGTTATGGTAAAACTAGCAAAATTAAAATTAGCATTAAGGTGGACACCTTAAACTTGGGGACTATATTTACCAGACTGACCAAACTGTGGGGACTATATTTACCAGATTGCAGCTTTCCCCTATATTTTGGGGTTCAGAAATCCAAATACGTCCAAAAAAATTTATGTTTATTCAGAGTAAGTATGTTTTTGTATCTGATTTCGTAACTTAAAGTAGTGTTGCAATTAGCATATTTTAGGTCACTCCCTTGAACCATTAATAATGAGTCCTCAAATCTGATCATTATACTAAACGTTATTCAGGGTGGTTCGTTTCTTTTTTTTAACGCACTGTACACAGCATTTACAGGTTCCTGGACGAAATTTATTGCAGGTTTTTTATTTAAAACATAAAAATAGCTTTTTTTCTGTTCATCTTTTAAGGGTTATAAATTGATAGATTATAATCCTTAAAGAAAAAAAGAAACAAAATCGAGGAAAAATTGCTGAAAATGACAGTAACTTTAAAGCAAATTTGAATTTCGCCAACAAAATTACCCCTTCAGCACTTCAACTTTCAAGCCGGCAGTTGCATTTTTCAGTGCTGTTGAGCGTATAGAATCAAATTTTAATTAACATTTTAATAGATTTTTTAACTAATTATCGAAAGTTATATTTTTTTTACACCATTTTGATTTCCAGTGCACTTTTCTGTACACTTTTAAAGCGTTATAATTTAAGCACAGTGAAACAAATAGCCACATTAAAATATAACGTTAACATCCAAAACAGAAAAGCCGGTTACTATTTTTTAACATTTTAATTTGAATAATAAGAATAAAAAAATGCATATTACATACCAATATGTCCCTCTGCAAATTTGGCACGAAGTTTTCGACTCAGACTAACCCATTCTGGCTCCTTTTCTACTGATTTACGATGATTGAGATGCGGCTGCGTGTTGACTTTACGATGATTAAAATCATTAACGGCATTTCGATGAACCATTGTTCCGTTGTGATAACCATCTAGAAAAGTAAATAACGTTAGTCAATTGCATATGCAACGCTGTTTTAACTTACTGCAATATTGAATAGTTTAAAATAATTTCAAAAATAAGATGGGAGCTTATGAAATGTACTTACAAAATTGCATTTACGGTTGTAAGAAGCTATTTGTCAAAAGCACAGTTTTAATTATTAAAAATAAAACAATGTTAAATATGTTTTGTTGATTTGTAATAAAATGCATCCGAATGTACCATCAGACAAAGAGCTTCGTAAAGAATTAATGATAGTTAACGGTAGAAAAACGATGGCATCGTGAAATTAGGACGCAATTTAAATAATTCCAAGAGCTCTATAATCATTGATGTTAATCTCCATCTTCTCGTGGGAAGCGTAACGGATTTATAAGATTTAAAAAAGAAATTAAACATTTATCATAGAAATCAGTTGATGATTGTATGCTTTAAATTTGATGGTGTACTTGGCGTGCGAGCACTTCAAAAGAACTTTCATTTTCCTCTTTTACCTGCAAACTGAGTTACAGTAAAATAGCTTAAAGTTTACCGTTTTATTAAAATGTTTTAAAAAAATTACATGAAGAAATAGTAGGTAAATAAAGAATTTCAGATAAATATATGAATCATATATTTGATACAAATGATCAAATCATCAGATATGAAGTATGTATTAAGCCAGTGTTCCCTACTCTTTTTATCATCGCGGACCTGTCAAGATTTGATAATTTCACAGCTGCCCGCTGGGGGGGGGGACGTTGATTGCTTATGATTTAGATTATTTTGATTTATTAATTTTAATTTAATTGTATTTAAACATGCCTTTAAAATAAAATACAGTTACACCAAAAATCAAGTATAAAGTGATTTTAAAAAATAAAAAACATATCTTAAGATTCTAAATTTAAGAATAGTCTATATATTACAGTAGAGCCCTTAAACAGAGTGAAAATCTTATATGTGGACTAATCTTTTACTTTTTTTGTTCAAAACATTTTTGAGAAAAAGTCTAAAAATGGGTTAATTGAAAAGTAAAAGCTCTTTGTATTNAAACAATGATGTAGATAAATGAAGAATTTCAGTTAAATATATGACTCATATATTTCATGCAAATGATCAAATCATCAGATATGAAGTATGTATTAAGGCAGTGTTCCCTACTCCTTTTATCATCGCGGACCTGTCAAGATTTGATAATTTCACAGCTGCCCGCTGGGAGGGGACGTTGATTGTTTATGTTTTAGATTATTTTGATTTATTAATTTTAATTTAATTGTATTTAAACATGCCTTCAAAATAAAATATAGTTACACCAAAAATTAAGTATAAAGTGATTTTAAAAAATAAAAAACATATCTTAAGATTCTAAATTTAAGAATAGTCGATATATTACAGTAGAGCCCTTAAACAGAGTGAAAATCATATATGCGGACTAATCTTTTACTTTTTTTGTTCAAAACATTTTTGACAAAAAGTCTAAAAATGGGTTAATTGAAAAGTAAAAGCTCTTTGTATTATGCAATAATTATCAGTTATAATAGAAATAGTAGTTCAAACATTTTAGAAATCAAATTTAATAAAAAAAGAAAATATGATTTTCAATGAATTTAAATTGAACTTAAGATCAGTTTATATTTAATTTTATTTCGTATAAATTTAATGATAATAATCTGAACAGTTTTTAAATATAAAATCTTTGTCTTCAACTCAGTGTTCAGCTACTCATTGTGCTATTGCCTTTTTTTAGAGGCTAGAACTAATTTAATAAAAATAAATCAAAGAAAAAAAATATTTTGAATATATATATATAACGTGGAAAAATATTATTTGTTTAATTTGAATGCTAGAAATAATGAATATATAATGTTGAGCATACAAAAATTCCATTGTATCACACATTTCTGTTACATTGTAAAAAATTCCAAATCAAAAGACGGTAAAATTACCGGCTCACTGGGTACATAATCCGTTGAATAAATTTTACCCTAAAATCTATTTTAACTGTCAACTTTACCGTAATATTTATCTGAAACAGTGATTCAGTGATTTTACAATAAATATTACTGTAAAAATTAAGATTTATTAGATATTTATTCAGTAAAATTTTGCGCTATAAAGTGCATGCACCCTGGGTGTCTGTTTATTCTACCTGTTCTTCTGTTTATTCAACCTGATCTGGAATTTTTTACAGTGCCGATAGACAGAAAAACCTTCAAACTTTCTTACTAGCAACAATCGGAATTTTGTTGATAATCCAGTGATAGAGATTTTCAATAGCACTGCATGGGCAAAGAATTGTGAACAATACATATGAATCAACCAGTAAAGGAATGAAATCAAGCTTGGATCACTCATATCACTATAGGAGTATTTTTCCAGAGGTATTAAGAATTTATCAGTGTATCCCACATTTCTGTTACACTGTAAAATCTTCCAGATCAAATTGCAACAAAAAGTACCATCACCCTGTGTGCATCATGCGTAAAATTAATTTTTCCTTAAAATCCATTTTTAACGTAAAATTTTACGGTAATGATTATTTAATTACCGTGATTCAGTGATTTTACAATAGATATTACTAGAAAAGTTAAGGTACATCAAATTTTTTGTTCCATAAAATTTTACGTTATGAAGTACCGACACTCTGCGCGCCACTACATTTTACCGTAATTTGATCCGGAATTTTTTACAGTGTAGATAGACAGAAAAACTACCGAACCATCTTACTAGCAACAATCGAAATTTAATTCATCATCCAGTGATGACGATTATCTCTAGCTCTGTGGTTAGTGTAGGCGAAGAAGTGTGAACAATACATGTGATATCGGCAAAGTATGAAACGCTGACATTCTATAGTATGTCTAGGCATTGTATCGAATGCCGGACGCTTTTAGGCAAAGTGTAAAATATGGGAATTAACATACATACATTATTACATACTTTCCCTAGGCTTTGTATATAATACTTAGGCATTCCATAAAATGAAACATGCTTTTTAGCAAAGTATGATAAAAGGTCCTGATATGGCTATTATATAATAAACAGGCATTCCTCGAGAAGGCAAATGTTATTCTGTAGAAAAAATAAAAGTGCCATTAAAACGCTTATTTAAAACACGTGACGAAAAATTAAGTTTTTCAAAAACAAAATTTGTGCTTTTATTAAGAGCAGCAAAATTTTCATGTTAATAAATTATTGAAAATAAAAATTAACCTACTTGGTTCAACATGGTAAGTTTGAATGACATTTTAAATTACATTTCATTACATTCGAAATTAATCGGAGATGTATTTAAAGCTTTACCGGTCTCTCATGTGTCATTTTATAGAATGTCTAGGAAATGTGTGAAATATGAACAATTTCATACATTGCAGGCTAGTTTTTGGCATTATCAACAATGCCTATTCTTTCTATAGAGCGCCGGATTTCAAACTTTGCCGGGAACACAAACGAATCAACCAGTAATGGAATAAACTCAAATTTGGAACACTCATATCGGTAAAAAGCTATTTTACCATCCACCCCAACCTCAACTCCCTTTATTTTATTATGTTCGACGAATAACTTTTACAAAAAATAAACTTGAAGCAATAACTATAATACGCATTTCTCTTCATACGATTATGAGAGGCCAAAAATACATTTTCATAAACATGAATAATCTCTAAAAAAAAAGTTGTTTAAGTTAATTTGTTTAATAAGCAGGAGAAAGCGTGACAAATATCTTAATAACAATGCATTCTGTCTTGCAAAAGGTCATGGAGTGTGCACGATTATAGGGAAAACAAACATTTTGGTGCATTGCATATCAGAAGGTCAAGAATTGCGTAAAGCATACGAACGTATGCTTTCGTTCGTTACTATTGATTCAGGAGAGACAAGAGCGACAGAACTATGTCACGAACATGCCGGAACATTTTGTCATCTCTATTACTAAGACAAGGTTGGCGGCGAAGGGAAAGTTAAACAGAGATAAAAAAAAACTAAATGTTTTCAGAAGATTAGCATCTGGTTGTCTTGTTTTGCGTATTCTTCGATGCTTTTCACAAAAATAACATTAATGTTTGGTAAACCACATAAGAATAACATAAATTTAACTTAACTTACTTTTTGAATGAATAATGTTTAAGTCAATTATTGTCCTGCTAAGTACTCTGTTAAAGTTCTGACTTATTTAGTTTATTATTGTGTTGTTAAATGTTTAGAAATCTTTTAACGCTTATTTTTCTTCCTCTTTGGTTGAAGTTTTTGTAATTCAATATTTTTCCTTGCATATTTTGAATGTTAATAAATGAAAACCCCAAAATTGGGTCCTTGTGACTTAGAGAAGGAAGAAGGAATCCAGTGTAGTCCCTTGACTAGAGAGTGCGGGTAATCAAGAATTTTCAGATTTGGGAAATAATGATTATACTATGGAATTAAATTGTGATTACTCTCTCGCTATTGCTTACTCTCTCGACTTTTTGCAAATTTGGGAAAAATGATCTCAAACTATCGAATTAGATTCCGAATACCTAATGACTTATTGCAAATTTTGAAAAAAGCAATACTATACTATCGAATTAGATTCTGACTACTCTCAGGCTATCTTCTGACTTTTAACAAATTTGGGAAACAATGATACCATACTATCGAATTTAATTCTAGTTACTCTTTCACTATTACTTAACTTTTTGAAAAATTTGATAAAAATGATACCATAATTATCGAAGTAGATAACGAATACTGTCTCGCTATGTAATGACTTTTTGAAAAATTTGGAAAAACTGATACCATAATTATCGAATTAGATAATGAATACTGTATCGCTATTTAATGACTTTTTGAAAAATTTGGAAAAACTGATACCATACTATCGAATTAGATACCGAATACTGCCTCGCTACTTAACGAATTTTTCTAAATTTGGAAGAAAAAAATAATACCATACTGTCAAATTATATTCCAATTACTCTCAGGCTATCTATTGGTAAATTTGGGAAACAATGATACTATACTATCGAAATAGATTCGAGCTGCTCACTCGCTATCTCTTGACTTTTTGAAAATTGGAACAATACTATGCTATTGAATTTGATTCCGAATACTCTCCCTCAACGCTTGCTTAAATTGTAACTCGATATTTTGAATATTGCTTATTGTTGAGTTGTATTTTACAATGAAATTAAAAATAAATTGTCCCAGCTTACCTCGAACACTGGCTACGAATTCGCCACCATTTGACCATCGGTCTTTTTTGGCACAGCCGTTGAGGTTAGGATAAGTTGAATGGGAGTCATGTGTTACGGTGGCACCACCCATGTTCTCTTTATTCTGAAATCGTTTACTTCTGGTTATAGATTTCGGCTTCGTCAGTCTAGAAAAAGAATCACTTCTAGTCCGCCTTTCCCAGGTTTGAATCAGAACTGCACTTCTACCTGAATCAGACTTTCTGCGCTTTAATTTTGCCTCGATGGTGAACTGTTGTGCGTCGTTCACGTACTCGTTAGGTTCTGGAAAGGTTCGAGGTAAGCTTGACTCTGATTGAAAAGAAGAGGATTTTTTTTTAATGTTTAACTAGTGAAAAGTATAATTATAATAGCCAAAATTTCTAACTGAATCTTAAATAGTGTCTGTAATTGCATGAGCTCTATAATTTAACAATGCTGGTTATAGCTTTTATGTTCCTTTTATTTCTATTTGAATTGTATTTCGAAAGTAAATGGAAAGAGTTTCATGTACAAGGGCTTTCAAAACACCAGAAAAAGTGAGAAATGTTATATTTATCTAGGAGAACTCGGATGAACCACCTCAGGTGAACCAAAGAGTGCGTCCTACAACTCCATCAGAACAGCAGCGTCAGAAATCATCTGGCAAATTTATGAGCATGAAATTTTCTAGTTACTTATTTTTATTAATTTTGAGGAATTAATGAAGAAATTTAAAGAATATGAAATATCAAATATTAATGCGTTTATAATTGTACTATAAATGCTTCGAATAATATTAATTGATTATGATACAATCTTTATTTTTTCATCAGGTTGAGAATCAGGGACCATCTATCTAAATTTCATTGCCTAAAAAATTATGCATTTATGATGATCTGTATAGGCATGATGTTGGTCAACTGGATACCATTTTGAAGGGAAGATTGATGTGTTTGATCCCTAGATTCATTTGACTTTCAAGAGTGCAAATTACTGTAAACGATAACGCGAGAAGTGAAAGGAAGAGAAGATATTTGCCAGACGGATTAACCTATAAGATTTCCAGACCTAAATCCTATAAGACATGCTTGTGACACTCTGTGAATTGGTATATGCAATTTGAAATTCCCTCCAACAACTACCCAGAGTCTGAAAATAACAATACCAAAAAAAAAACTAAATTTAGTTTTTTCTACATAAAACCACAGTTACTCTTCATCTTCGAAAATAAACAGACAATCATCGACCCTAATTACCCAATTTTTTTTTTCAATTCACAATTTACAGTTTCAACCCTTTCGACTTTATTGACTATTACGCAGAATCATGCGTGGAATATTATAAGAGCTGAGAGGATACCTTTGTACTATATTTCTTTTATATCTCCTCAGTAGTCTGAAAATATTCAAACAAATCCTAAAATTGCCTTAATTTTGAACCCCCTGCACAATTAACTTCCCTGAACAATTAACTTCCCCTGCCTTGGTCGAAGGATCAAAATGATTCTTATAGCTCTATATTAATTATATATGAGCTACCACTTCAGGCATTAACAATATTTTATTCAAAAAATAATTAATTCTCTTAATTTTGAACCCATAAAAATTTTAACTGCTTCAAGTGATTTGACCAAAATTATTTATATTGCTCTATATTAATTATATATAAATATACAACCACTAAAATCAGTGATCAAAATGTTTCTTATAGCTCCATATTAATTATATCCCCTGCCTTCCCCTGCCTTGGTCAGAGGATCAAAATGATTCTCATAGCTCCATATTAATTATGTCCCCTGCCTTCCCCTGCCTTGGTCAGAGGATCAAAATGATTCTTATAGCTCCATATTAATTATATATGAGCTACCACTTCGGGCATTAACAATATTTTATTAAAGAAATAATTAATTCTCTTAATTTTGAACCCATATAAATTTTAACTGCTTTAAGTGATTTGACCAACGTTATTCATATTGCTCTATATTAATTATATATAAATATACAACCACTCCAATCAGTGATAGTAGTTAATTTAAAACGTGATATATTCTATTAATTTTGAATCCCAATGAATTCCATTTGCTTCAACTGATCTTCCCAAAACAATGCTTATTGTTTTATAATAATTACATAATCATAGGCTATAACCTATTCAATCATTAACAATATTTACTTTTTAAAAAAATTATCATTAAGACATTAAAAATAATTTTAAAAGTCCCTCATTTATATTACCACACACTAACTATGACTGAATGATTACAAACTGAAATAGATTATCAGCTGTTCTTAAAAAGAGCACGTCAGAGAAAAAATAAATTACACATACTTTAAAGAACAAAGAAAAACCACTTCAAAACATCATTATTCATCATACATTATTTCTTCCATTGTACTCTTACGTTACATCTTATGATTATTTGCTGTACTTTTTTTACAAATAAATATTTGTTACTCCTTTCTTTCATAACACAATCTTTGCTTGATAAAATTAAAAATTTAAACTCAGTAAAATATCTTACCAATTTTTAATCCTATTTTAGAATAACGGGATGGGTTATATTCCTTCTTCTTATTTACAATAATTTTTCGTTCTACATACACAGGTGTTGTTGGAGCAGATTTTATTACATTGTTAATTGGCGACGGTTGAGATGTTTGCTTGGCTGAAGTTGATGGAAAGGTATCGGTAGACGGTGACAAAAGCAATTTTAAATTGGCTCGGGAGGGCTTCCGACGCCGACCTAAGGAACCTTTGTTAACGAGCACGAGTTTTTCTTTTTGGAAACTGTTGTCCAATGGAGCCTGAAAAAAAAAACCTTCATTTGTAATTCTATAAGAATTTAATTAGACAATTAAAGTTATTTTTTTATAGGAAAAAATTAGTAATGAAAATCTGCTGCTAAGATTTTATCACATGTTTCCAAACGAAACATTAAGAAGACCCGAATGGGATTTTTATTTACTCATTTATTTAATTATTGCATTTAATTAAAAACGATAAATTCGTAAAAAGTTTTGTGATGTAATTAAAACTAAGTCATTAACAATTTTTTCCCACCATTGAACAAATTTTTAACTCCAAATCGGTAAAATTGAAATTTTGAACAAAATATCTATAGGTGGAGTTTCGTACATCGTCCAAATTTTCAAATTTTTTTTCCACTTAAAATGTTGCAGCAATCAGGATAGACAGAAGTTCAATGACGCAATATCAGGCAAGTGTGGTTGGTGAAGCAACTCCTCCCAATCTAATTTATCAATGTTTGCCAGAATGTGGACTCTTGCTTATGATTAAGCTGAAAAGATTAAAATTACCAGATTTGAATTTAGAAAACCACTGTTATTGTTTTCGAAAGTGTAACGCATTTGAATAAACATCGCAAATGCTTTTCATAGTAAATATTGCGTTGCTCCCCTTCTGAAACTTAAGAAGCGTACGATGCTGGATATTTCTTCTTGTAAGTGGATGGACATTTCAACATAAATTGCAAAAAAAAAAAACAGAACGAAAGAAACATAGAAAAGAAATCATCATTTAATTATTTTCGAGTAGTTCTTATCCAGTAGCTCTTATCAACTCGCTCTTTTTAGAAGTAGTAGTTGATCGTAATTAGAATGCAAGCTTTTATTTCATTCGAAATTTGTTACTTCAACTAAAGGAAAAAAAGTCAAGAATCCTATTTTTTTTTTTTTTTATTTAAGAAAATGCCAAACAGGAGAGCTAGTCATTAAACACCGCTGGATTGAAAAATTGCGCCCCGACCCTCCTAATATAATTAAAACAAGTACCTGAACCTTTAACAGAAACATTACAAATGTTATAAGTTAAACTAATATTAAATAAAGTGATGGAGATGATAATAATATCAACTATTTTTTGTAACTTTTAATTAAAATTAAAGATGATCTTTTCAAAATGTATGAAGGATTAAAAAAATATCACTTTAGTAATACTTTTAGCATGATTAAAATAAAATTGTTTGTTATTTATTTTTAGAACATTAGTCAAAATAATAAAATGAACTTCAATCTTTCTTTTATTACCAAAAATATACATAAATTTGCATAACAACCTTTGTGAGGAGTAATCCCAATTTAGCCATTTCATTGGATTCCTTAAATTTTTCAACGATCCCATTAAAATTTTTATTAATTTTATTAAATAAAATTATCAAGTTCAGTTCAAAAAGAAAGTCTGTATGACTTATAGGTTTTGTATCTGTGATTTGGGTCTTATAAGGGAATCTTCTCTTATTATATCATTTGGTCTCATAATATTTCCTACTATAAGAGATTCCCACGTATTTTACCGCAAAAATCCTGATAAAACCAATCTATATTTATGTTAAAAAAAGTTTAACATACGTTTTAAAGAATTTCCATGCCTTATTAAAAAAAATTAAAGTAAGTGATTGAAAGTAAGGCAGTTATGTAAGTTATAAATATTATATATAGTTTTATAAATATTCAAAATATTTAATATATATATATATATACTTTCTTACCTCGCATATGACGAGATCCATTCTCTTTCACCAAACCCTGAAAAGAAAAAATTAAATACATTTAATATATTTTTATAATAATAAATGGCATAATAAAAATTTCATTTACTTTATAAAGTTTTTTTAATGTGTAAGAAAACTATACATTTTTATTTCCCATAAAAAAAAATTTAAAAAATTCTAGATTAAATTTCAAAAACGTTATTAATCTCTCAAAACAAAATTGAGCATAATAGTGTGAACAAAACTATATGTTATTCTAATGATCTTTTAACAGGTTGTTCCCGAATAGCAAGATATCAACTCAATGTGATTTCGTCATAGCAGGTAAAATCAACTGAAAACTTTTTTTATTGATGCTTTTGAGAATTATCTTGAAGAATTTGCAATTTTACAAATTATTAAGTTAAGGGTAGTCATGGCATATTTTTTGAGAAATGTTTTGAAAATTATGCATTCATTCTAATATTTTCTACTAACGTACTATAATTAAGTATACAAGAACGACTTCGAAAAAACTATGTCACAATATTTAAAAAAAATTCTACTAAAATTTCTTTCACGCTGTATGACAACGACATTTCCAAATTAAAAAAAAAATAATGAAAGAAACATAATTTTGGTAATGTATGGTAAAATATACGGTATTAAAACTATTATACTGTTCTGTTCATGAGAAAATGGCTAATCGGAAATACTGGTTTTCAAAATTATAGTTCGTTTACCACACATATAGTGGAAAATACAGTACTAAAAAGGAAATTTAACCACCAAATAAATGGTTTTAATGCTATGCTCTAAGGTTATCCTGATAAACTAACCAAATTTTACATTTCCCAAGTTTTATCGCAGATTATAAAAGCATATTTTATAGAAACCGAAATTTTACCGAAATCATTACCAAAGTCCTTCGGTATAAATTATTGAGCTTTTTGGTATTCACATTGAGCCAGAAATAGAATAAAATCTACTATATTCTGATAATTATGACCATACTTATTTTCTTAATATAAATCTTGATAAAACTGAAAATATTACGATATATACTTCATATGTATACTTCAATACTAGAATATTTTTCTCCGTCATTTAATTTGTATTTAGCTTTTTTTATTTTTTAATTCAGTTATTTTTTTTTTTTTTTTTTTTTTTTTTTTTTTTTTTTTTTTTTTTTTTTTTTTTTTTTTTTTTNAAAAATTAAAGTAAGTGATTGAAAGTAAGGCAGTTATGTAAGTTATAAATATTATATATAGTTTTATAAATATTCAAAATATTTAATATATATATATATATACTTTCTTACCTCGCATATGACGAGATCCATTCTCTTTCACCAAACCCTGAAAAGAAAAAATAAATAAATTTAATATATTTTTATAATAATAAATGACATAAAAAATTCATTTACTTTATAATTTTTTTTTAATGTGTAGGAAAACTATACATTTTTTATTTCTCATAAAAAAAATTAAAAAATTCTAGATTAAATTTCAAAAACGGTATTAATCTTTCAAAACAAAATTGAACGCAATAATGTGAACAAAACTATATGTTATTCTAATAATCTTTTAACTGGTTGTTCCCGAATAGCAAGATATATGTGTTTTCGTCATAGCAGGTTAAATCAAGTGAAAACTTTTTTTTATTGATGCTTTTGAGAATTATCTTGAAGAATTTGCAATTTTACAAATTATTAAGTTAAGGGTAGTCGTGGCATATTTTTTGAAAAATGTTTTGAAAATTATGCATTTATTCCAATATTTTCTACTAACGTACTATAATTAAGTATACAAGAACGACTTCGAAAAATCTAAGTCACAATATTTAAAAAAAATGATGATTCTACATGGAGAAAAAAATTCTGCTAAAATTTCTTTCACACCGTATAACAACGACATTTCCAAATTTAAAAAAAAGAATAAAAGAAACATAATTTTGGTAATATATGGTAAAATATACGGTATTTAAACTATTACATTGTTCTGTTCATGTGAAAATGGCTTATCTGAAATACTGGTTTTCAAAATTATAGTTCGTATACCACACATTAAGTAGAAAATACAGTACTAAAAAGGAAATTTAACCACCAAATAAATGGTTTTAATGCTATGCTCTAAGGTTATCCTGATAAACTTACCAAATTTTACATTTCCCAAGTTTTATCGCAGATTATAAAAGCATATTTTATGGTTAATTTTGCCGAAATCATTACCAAAGTCCTTCGGTATAAATTATTGAGCTTTTTGGTATTTACATTGTGCTAGAAATTAAGTAAAATTTACCATATTCTGATAATTTTGACCATACTTATTTTCTTAATATAAATTTTGATAAAACTGAAAATATATACTTCATATGATCTGCTTCAATACTAGAATATTTTTCTCCGTCATTAGCTTTTTTTTTATTTAGTTATTTATTTATTTATTTTGCTATTAGCGTCTAAAGAATCAAAACTTCTAAAATTATAAATTTCTGATTCTCTTTTTTTTATTTCTTAAAATCACTACAGAAAGAAATTTATAAATATTTACGAATTTCTTAAAGGCAAATTAAAGCAAACTCAATAAAATATATGCTTAAAATTTACTGCAATTATTTGTAGGAATAGTGTAATATTGTTGTATGGTACGAAAATAAAAACATTTACGGGGGAAAGTGCGGTCAAATTTCAGTTAAACTTGAAGTTTATTAATTAGGAAAAAGTAACCTCACTTTTAAATAGAGAAAAAAAATTATATTTTCTCAATTTGAAAAAAAAATGATGTGCATTATTTTTTCTACGAATAAAAAATAATCTCAAAAATCATCTTCGTCCAGGGTCCTTTTAAATCAAACAAATTAAAAACAGTTTTTGCGAAAATATAATAGTTGTTTAAGAGGTTGACCAAGTAAAATTACTTCTCTTTCATTGTTCTCGTGAGTTTTAAAGTGAAAACTAAAATAACATTTAAAAAATGTCATTTAAAAACTTCGTAACGGTTTCAAAGTTATACAAAAAAATATAAAAAATTAGCCTTGCGATAAAAGAGACATTAAATAAAATAAAAATTTACGTAACAATTTTCCTTCACTTATTTTCATTTAGAACATAAAAAACATAAAATGTTTAAAACATACAATTTCGCTGGTTGGTTTTGATGAAGGCCGGAAACTTGTTGCCATGTTTCCGGCAAAAATCGGCAGAGCGTGGCCATCCTGCAACAAATTTGTGGCATCTCATATCCCTCCCCCATCACTTCCGTATTAAAAATTGACCTCCCCCTATTTCGACCCAAAATTTGAAAAGATTTCCTTTTTCACCAAACAAAAGAGTGTTGATTGAAAAGTTTGTGACTGTTTGCTTAGATCTGGGTTACACCTTCGATGAAATAGGGAAAAACCGAGTTCAAATTCACTGAAAATCGTTTTCGGTTAAATACCAAGAATACTTTCAGTCATTATTTTTGGCTACGTAAAAGTTGTTCATTAGTAGCAGGATGAGATGAAAGTTTTGCAAAAAACAAAGAGATGGTGGTCTGACAAAAATAACTCATCATATTTTCTTTGTCTTGTTTCTATTATATCACATAATTTTTCAAACTTAAAAAAGGAAAATAATGTTTTTATACACTAGTTGTAAATACATAGCAAAAAATGGCATAGGATAACTTTTTGTAAAAAGATTTTTAAATGACCTCAATTATTAAATTGTAATATGTAATTTTCCCTGAGTAACCATTTTGTTTCTGTTGCAAGAAGTTTTTTTTAACAGATCTTAAATATTTTCATTTCGCTGATTACAAATCAGCAATCGGTTTCTTTATCCAAGCTACAATTATTTCGCAAACTGACAATTTAAGTCTAATTTTTGTCGAAATGTACAAGTTTAAAAACTTTGTATGTAGCAGGGGGTCACATAAATGTTGCGACAAACTTCTGGAGGAGCTATAGCGCAATTACACAGGAACCCATACCCTTAAACGTCATCATACGCCACTAAGGGCGCTTCCTTATTATAAACTGCTTCTTCGTATTCTTCTGACCAGGTTATAATAAGGTAGCGTTCCTAATCACGCACAATGATATTTCTGGGTATGTGTTCCTATGCAATTTTAATTCTAATGATGTGCCATAACTCCTCCAGAATTTTGTCACAACATTTATGTGACTTCCTGTTATATATAACATTTTCAAACTAAGTAAATAGACTATAATTGTTAAATTGTTTGGCAATTTAAATTGTCAGACACTTTTCTACGGTCAGGCCACTATAATTATAAACGTTTTCACAATTAAATATTATTCAAATAAGTATGACTTTTAAAACGAAAAAATATTTTTCTCCATACTTAAATACTAGAGATGCGGTAGCTTAGAAGACAGGGCGCTCGACTCAAAGTAAACTGACTCAAGTTCGAATTCCAGCTTCAACTAGTCGTAAAAAGGCTGGACTCTACATTGCTGACAAACTTATTGCATAAAAACTTTTATTAAAATAACAGAGTCTGTTTGATAAAATAACAAATTTTGCTTCATAAAATAACAGTACTTATTTTCCTCAGAAACATGCGCCTATTTTAAATATCAGTATTTTTCCGCAAAATAAACGTTTTTATACTAGCACGCCAGCTGACTATTTTTTTCCGTAAATTTGACAAATTTTTTTTTTTTTACCATGTGGTAATTGGTAGTTTGAAAAGTTTGTAAATTGTAATATTTAGCCGTATACCAATTTTTCACAAATAGTACGCGTTCGGTAAACCGTTAGATTAAGTAAATAATTTTAGGCACATCAAGTGTAAGGGTTCTTTTATAACAGACAGGAAGTTCCCAATCTTACCTCAAATGTTGTTGGGGTAGATAAATATTTGGATTTTCAAAGGAACCTATAACAGTAGCGATGTTCATTTTACTTGAAAATAACAATGAAAAAAAGAACCCCGAAGGCATTGCTATGAAGCGTAAAAAGGAAAGGATTCAATTATCCAAAACAAACTTATCAGAAAATTGACTAATCATCAACCATAACCTTCAACTCGGTATAACAATTACATC